TTGGCTATTGCACAGTCTTGGGAACTGAGGAACTGAAGTTGGAAGTGTGTATATGAGAGAAAGGGACGATGGGCACTTAACTATTTTTCTGCTGGCTGTTCTCCACACTGAAAATGGCTTCCCAACTGTACTACCTTTGTGCCACTAGCAAATTTTGGGTGTCGTGAATGGCAGCAAAATGACAGTTATTTCTTTACTGTATTTTTACTGCCACATCTGGAAGAAGGTGCTTGAGGGATGTTCTGTGATAGCCACCTTTAAATACTTGGAAGCTGGCTGTTATGGAGCAAGCTTGTTTCTTTTATCAGGCAAAACCAAAATAAAAAATAAAGAAGGCAAAAAAGAAAGGCACCTTATGGACTAGCTGCTATATTTTAATGTGAGCTTTTGTAGACAAGTTCACTTCTTTAGACAAGTCCACTTTCTTATCTGAGGAAGTATACTCAGCCACAAAAGCTCACATTAAAATATAGCAGTTGGTCTTTAAAATGCCACAATGTTTTTGTCTTCTTTATTTTGTGTTTTGCTTTTGCTTTTGCCTGACTTGCTAGCACAGAGTAACCTGACTACCTCTTCTAAAGCTTACTTTCTGAAGCCCTCAGAGGGTTAGGTCCCAATGCCATGTATTGAAATAACGGGGGGGGGGGGGGGGGAAAGAAAAGAAACAACAACACATAAGGAGATTTTCACATTAGGAAGAACTTCTTGACAACAAGAGCTCTTCAACAGTGGATTGGAGGTCCTCAGAAGGTGGGAGATTGCCCTTCGCTTGAGGGTTGTAAACAAGAGTTGGATGGTCATCTTTAGTGTGGATTCATTTACAGCATTTATATCATAGTGCTTTGTTGGTGGATTCCCTGCGTCACTGGAGGAAGGGTTTGGACTCCATGGTTTTTGAAGACCCTCCCATTTCCAAAATTCTTTGATTGTACCCCATGTGCCAAAATATCTCCGTTGGCCTGGACTACAATATACATTGACTTCAACATGGGAGGAAACATAGGTTTGTTTCTTTAGCAGCAGACGGCAAAATATATCTGGCTACCCCTGCATTTGCTTGTGAAGGACATCCAGCCACAGGTGCATTCCAGCCATTCTGAATAGAGCATGAGCCATGTGGAAAACATTCGGTACCCTTCCTTCCCTGACATCCAGGTTGCAACCTGCAAGGTTCAAGGCTGCAGCCTCCCAAGACTGCTTTCCCTTACAATGAAAGAAGAAAGACTTAATGGGAGGGAACCTGGATTTGCATGTCATAGGCCAGTGGAGGCAAACTTTTTTCGGCTCGAGTGCCCAAAATGAGGGGGTGGGGAAGAAACCAGTGGTTGCTGTGCCATCCATAAGACCAGAACCGGAACAGGAAGTGGCAGTTTCAGTAGGAATCATGGGGACAGACAGGAAGTTAAAGGGGGAATCATGGGGACGGACAGGAAGTTAAAGGGGGAACCATGGGGATGGACAGGAAGTTAAAGGACCCAGAACAGGAAGAGAAAGGGGGAATCCCAGCTGCAGCCACTTCAAAAGGTTTGTTCCCACAAAGAAGGGTGGGTAGGCCACTCACTCGCATGCCAGAAGAAAGGGCTTCGTGTGCCAGATGTGACACGCGTGCCATAGGTTCGCCATCACTGTCCTAGGCAGTCTAATCTTCAGAGTATCCAGGATGTCATGCTTGCTCCGAACAGGTGAAAATGTATATGCGGCATGGAGGTATATTACAATTGTGGGTTTCCAGGTTCCATGAACAACATGTTTCATGAAGGCCCTTTTACTGTAGAAAAGGAACAGCAGCCACCTCTCCCCTTCCTGCCATATAGGCTCTAGTTCACCCTCACAGTTATTTTGCTCTTGGTCAACCATTATTGGGTTCTGGCTTATATTAAAACACCAGCCTGTGTGTAATCAACAGTTGGCACAAAGTGTTAGATTGCTAATTACAGTTTATATAAACCAGGCTGGACACAGATTAACACCTTTCTCTTAATGTGTACAGATTTTCCAAGTTGTTTCCTCAGGCAAAGCCCCCTGGGCATGTTCTGTGTAGAGCAAGTTGTATAATGTTTTTTGGGGGGAAAGGATTATTCTTCCCTTTTCAAAATCACCCTGGGTTAATGCACTTTACAAAAGAGGCTGTGTTAGTAGCTGGCTGGAAAGCCCAGGTTCCTAGGAAAATAGCCAGCTTGTGTGGCCTTGGGGTGGGGGCTGCACGCTCCCAGAGCACCTTCAGAAAAAGAGAACGGTAAGCTACTTCTGAGTACTGCCTACCTAGGAAACCCTGAAAAGAGTCCCCATAAGTCAGAATTTGACTTGAGTGTACACAATTATTGTTATTATGTTAACTGCCTGCAAGTGGCAATTTTCAATGTTTCTTCACCCAAAGTATGGCGTATGAATCTTTTGTATCCTGTGGAAATCATTGGGGCCAGATTTGATTTTGCCTATGTTATGGATTCTCAAGCATCTTTCAGAGCTTGGGCACTTAAGACCTGGTTTATTATGTCATGTGATGCCCACTTCCAGAAAGGAATTCATTAACACTAGGACTGATAACAAAATGGCTTTTTTTAGGTTGAACTTCCAACCAAATGCCTCTTTTAAAAAGTCATTTAATACTTTTAAAATTAACTCGAAAATGTTACTAACAACAACCCCCCACAATGGCATTGTTCCTACTCCTTCCAACCCTTTAGAATTGTGAACTTCATGCCACCTTTCCTGCAACCCACCTTAAAAATGTGTATGGCTCATTATAGGTAACTATACCCGAATTCTATGCTTTCACTCCTGATAGGATGATATATGATTGGAAATCAGTGCAAGCTATTTCCTCACAGCTAATATAGTTGTCGTGTTAATTTCACCCACCATGTAGAGAGGATTCCTATAGCGCAAGGCAGGGTGGCAGCAAGCAGCAGCCAGCGCCAGTCCCGCACTAGGTAGGCGATCAGAGCAAGAAGCATATTTCCAAAACTCCAAAAGACGCTGGTTACGATCCCAGATATGGTCCGATGCTGTATATCCACCCATTCTAAACCTGAAACATAAATGCAGAGCTCAGCAAACATATCTATGCACTGGACACACAAATATACACTTGAAAGAGGTGAATCTAGGACAACCAGTTTTGCCAAATTTATCACTTTTGTGACTGCAAGTTCATTCCAGCCTGCATTTATGTAATTTTTATATTTGGGTTTTTTGGAAAGGAACACTTATTGTATGAGTTCTCTCCCCAAAGCAATGCACTTTTGTATGAACCTGACCTTAATAGAAACACACGTATACATATTTCTGCAATTTATGGACCAACTGACAAAATTCTGAATTTTGCAGGAGGGGTTGTGTATACGTGGTCCATTTCTGCCAGTAAGCTCAGCAAATCAAGATTTGATAAATTTGTACAAAAACGTAGATATTTCAAGCTGATTCCAAAATGTTAGGGTGTGTGCGTGTGCACACACATACACACACAGGGTTTAATTTTTAGAGGTAAATTGGCTCAAGTAAATAAATTTCTATAGACATTATCTGTTGTACATCAAATCACACGACTCCACATGCAGCAAATAATGTCTACAGAGATTTCTTAACCTGAGGCAGTTTCCCTCTAAAAGTTACACCTTTTGCCTCTAAAGGTTACATTTTTGCGTAACTGCACAACAGGATTTCAGCCACCATCTTAATTTCATAGTGGAGAATGGCTTTTATATTGATCCAAAACCAGTCTTTCTTTAAGAATCATGTGTACACATCAGCTTAAAGGAATCCTGTACTGGAAACAGCTGCAGATCCAGTATTCATCTTTAACATACTGTAAGTAACCATTATGCAGAGTTAGACATTTGATCCATTTAGTGTAGTGCAAGCAGACTCCAGTGCAAAATAGTCAAAAGAAGGCAAAAAGATCTAAAGAAAAGGGTGCATTTATGTATCTGGTCAGCCCAGAAGTTTGCTTTGGTAGTAACACTGATCTTACAATATTTTCATCCATAATTTATTTCTGGTTCACTCACAAGCTTGCTTAGGGTCAGACTAAGTATTAATGGAAGGGGATGCATGGCTCAGCAACTACATCTGGAAAACAAGCTTGTGTTTACCTTCCAGTGTCCAATCAGAAATAAAAGTATGGCTAAATACTTTGGGTGTTCTATGACAAACAGATGTCTTCCACTATTTGAGGAGGCACAGCTTCTAAATACATGCTCAGTCTATTGAGGCTTTCATGATGCCATTGCCCTGCCTTATTCCCTGAATTTTACTTGGGCTGTTGACAACATCAGCCTCCCTTGTTTTTCTGCTTCTTCTTCCATCTTTTTCTTTATCACAGAGAAATCTGTTATGGAAGAAAAAACAGAATAGATCATTCCTTCTAATTGGGAGTGTGAGAAGCTTGCCATCTGGCAAACACCCTAGTTTCAGGTAGGGTGAATTCATCCTGATTTAGATGGAGAAGGATACTTTTTTGTTGTTGCTAATATTAAACAATTTGAAGTCAGAAACCCAGGAGATCCTAAACAATCTTTTAACCCAACCCTGACCTGAAAGATTGCCTTGACACCTCTTTGTACAGTAATCTAGAAATCTCTATAGCATGTAACCAGATTGTATTATAGTGGTTTTAACATGCTGGAGTCATCAAATGCTATCTTTTCTGTGGCTCTGTATATGTTGCACCAGTCTTGTGAATGACCACACATTAAGACTGTGCTTCAACATGTCCTTGCTCTACTCATGTTTCAGAGCTTTTTTTTTAAAAAGGGGGTGATGTTAGAGCCATAAGAAAAGAACATGAGGCACCACACCTTCCCTACTAGCCTTTATCAAGCTCCATTATTTCTTTGCTTTTTGTTTTAGTGTCTCAGTGACCCAGATCATGAAGACTAGAACCTTTTCTTGCAAAATAACAAGACATAGATTCTTAATATGTCCAGTTCCTTGGTAGATTTCAACTTGCAACAGAAATCCTGGACATACTGGTTGAAATTCTATTGTTTAGTGTAGCAAATCAAAACTAGAATAGATCCAACAAATCATAAGTTCCATTCATTCAAATTGCCCTACTCTAGTTGTGACTTACTTTGTGTAGAAAGTCATAGCTAGAGTATGCCCATTGGAATCAATGGAACATATGGAATACATGACCCACGAAAGCCCCACTTATTCAATGAGTGTTTGACTTACTATGCCAAGCAGTAAGATTTCAGCTACTGAATGTACATTTTCGTATACACATTGTCTGCAGATGGTTTTCTTTTGCCATTACAGCCTTGGATCTCCGTGTTGCTTACCCAGAGGCATTACAATGAGAGATAGCCCACAGATGGCCATGCCTGTCAGAGTCCGCGTGACGGCCAGCATGCTGTATGTAACGGAGATAGAACTCATCATCCCAAAGATCAGAGTGCATGTATACGAAACCACAAGCATGGACTTCCGGCCAAACCTGCCATATACCACAGAGAAAATCTATTTTAAAGAGTTTTTTAAAACAATTTCAACTAGTCATTTTAGTATTAGCATATGTTTAACTGTTTTTAAATGTAATAATGTATTGTGTTTTTAGCTGGCTTGTTTTTCTAATATTTTGTGAGACACTTTGAGTCCCGTAATTGAAAGGTGGCATGGAAATGAAATAAATAAATGATAAATAAATTGTGAGGAGTTGTATAGCAGCCGTCAGATCTATTGCATCAGAACAAAGAAAAAGGAAGAAAAATGCCTGTTGTGTGGCCCATAAAGGTAAAGGTTCCCCTTGACAATTTTTGTCCAGTCGTGTCCGACTCTAGGGGGCGGCGCTCATCCTGCTCTTCAAGCCATAGAGCCAGCGTTTGTCCGAAGACAATCTTCCGTGGTCACATGGCCAGTGTGATTTAGACACGGAACGCTGTTTACCTTCCCACCGAGATGGTACCTATTTATCTATTCGCATTTGCATGCTTTCGAACCGCTAGGTTGGCGGGAGCTGGGACAAGCAACGGGCGCTCACTCCGTCGCGTGGATTCGATCTTACGACTGATTTGTCTTCTGACCCTGCAGCACAGGCTTCTGCGGTTTAGCCCACAGCGCCACCACGTGGCCCATAGAAAAGACCAAAAACAATGAAATGTCCATGGTTGGAAAGCTTGCACATGTTTTTGTGGTCCCCTTTCATTGGTCCAATGCAGATATGACACAAATACAAATCTTGGAGTTTTTCTTATGGGAAACTCGTCAGAATGACCAAAGACGATGAAATGTCCATGGTTGGAAAGCTTGTACATGTTTTTGTGCTCCCCTTTCATTGGTCCAATGCAGATATGGCAAAAATACAGATCTTGGAGTTTTTCTTATGGGAAACTCGTCTTCTGTTGCTTTTGATGTCTGGAAGGAGGGGTGTGAAATTACCTGTCTGAGAGGTAGCCAAAGGTCACAGCTCCAAGCATTACACCAATGAAGAAGAATGTAGCTGTTGCTTGGTTCAGCCCTCTTTGGTCACAAACCAGATCCCACTGGAACAAAAGAAACAAGGAATTCTCAGACAGAAGTTCTGTCCGGTGTAGGGTTTTTTTTTTGGGGGGGGGAGACTGTTATTTATCAGTGGTGCCTCGCATTACGACGTTAATTCATTCCAGCGAAATTGCTGTAGAACGAAAACGTAATGCGAAAATAAAAAGCCCATTGAAACGCTTTGAAACCCCTTCAATGTGTTCCAATGGGCTGGAAACTCACTGTCCAGCGAAGATCCTCCATCGGGCGGCCATTTTCAGTGCTTGTGCAGCAAGGAATCCATCCCAGAAAACAGCGAGGAGCCATTTTATTTACCCGGCAGCCATTTTGAAACTGCCGATCAGCTGGAGGAAAATCGTTGTTTTGCGAAGAATCGGTTCCTGAAGCAGGGAACCAATCATTGCAAAGCGGAAAATCCCATTCAGATCATCGTTTTGCAATCGCAATTGCGATTGCAAAAAGATTGTCGTAATGTGGGGCAATCGTAAAGTGAGGCACCACTGTATTTATATATTAATTAAACAAAAATATAAAAATTTTAGTGGCCCTGTAGGAATAGTTTCTGGACAATGTAAAGAGCAACAACAATAAAACTGTTTCAAATTATTATTTTAAGATAACTACTTATAGGACAGAATATGGAGAGAGAATACTTTCCTATAGGCAAAGGTGTCAAGTGGCCCTGTAGGAATAGTTTCTGGACAATGTAAAGAGCAACAACAATAAAACTGTTTCAAATTATTATTTTAAGATAACTACTTATAGGACAGAATATGGAGAGAGAATACTTTCCTATAGGCAAAGGTGTCAGACGAGAGCGCATTTTATCCCTTTATTCTTTTATCTGTTAAATCTGTATGCAGAACATATCATACGGAAAGCCAGACTAGATTTAGATGGAGGAGTAAAAACTGGTGGAAGAAACATGAAAAAAACAGAATATGAAGATGACACCATCTTACTCGCAGAAAACACCAATGATGTGAAATCACTTTTAAATCCTTCTTTCATGGCAGGGCTCTTGTGCCTTTAATTGTTCCCTGATGGCAAAATTCAAATGCCACTGAGACTATTGTCTTCTTTGTGTAGCTAATCTTCATAAGCAGTGGCCAACCCTATGTTAAACATGATTAGTGCTCACAAGTTGCATGAGTTCACTCTTATATAATGAAAGCTTTTGAAGAAGATTATTTGCTTCAGAAGTCTGGTGACCAAATGAAAAAGAAAAGAGGGTTCCTATGCCTTTAAAAGGTACAATGGTGCCTCGCTTAGCGATGTTAATCGGTGCAGCAAAAATCGCCGCTAACCGAAAACATTGCTAAGCAATTTTTAAAAGCCCACAGGAATGCATTGAAACCCTTTCAATGCGTTCCTATGGGCAAAAAACTCACCTTTAAGCGAAAATCCTCCATAAGGTGGCCATTTTCGCTGCCTGGTATGCGAGGAATCCATCCCAAAACACAGCGGGCGGCCATGTTTTTTACCCAGCGGCCATTTTGGAACCGCTGATCAGCTGTTGGGAAAACATCGCTGTGTGAAAATCGGTAAGCGAAACAGCTTACCGATCATCGCAAAGTGATTTTTTTCCTATTTAAAACATCACAATGAGATCGCTTTTGCGATCGCAAAAACCAAATCGCTATGCGATTTCATCATTAACCGGGGCGCTCGTTAAGCGAGGCACCACTGTATTTGGAGGATGAAATATCTCCCATGGCTGAACACAACATAAATAGAAGGTTAAACACTATAACTCTGATGTGAGAGAAGAGTTAAATAGCACAAAACCAAGATGGTTTGAAAGCTGGATCAACCTTGAAATCTTCTCCTGAATGGAGAAATACATTTAAATCCACTCTAGATTCATTAGTTATGCCATCAAGTCAATTCTGACTTATGGTGACCCCTTTTTCAGGGGCTTCCAGTTAGAGAATACTCAAAAGTGGCTTGACATTCTCTTCTTCTGAGGGCACCCTGAGACAGTGCAGCTTGCCCAAAGCCACTTAGGCTGGCTTTTCCCCCTGAAGGCACAGTAGGGAATTGAACTTCTAAATTCTGGCTCTGCAACCAGACAACTAAACCAAGCTGGCTGGATAACTCAGTGGTTTATGCATCTAGCTGTGGAGTCAAAGGCTGGGAGTTCCAGTTCTCAATAGGCCTTATGGAAAGGGTTGCCATAAGTTGGAATCGACTTGATGGCACATAACTGCTACTGCTGTTGCTGCTGCTCCTATTAGACTTGTTAGGTAAAGGTTCCCCTTGACATTTTTAGTTCAGTCATGTCATCCCATTTTTCAAGCCGTAGAGCCAGCGCTTGTCCGAAGACAGTTTCCATTATCATGTGGCCAGCATGACTAGAGAACGCCGTTTTACCTTCCCACCGATATGGTACCTATTTATCTACTTACATTTACATGCTTTCGAACTGCTAGGTTGGCCAGGAGCTGGGACAAAGCGACGGGACCTCACTCCGTCACGTGGACTCGATCTTATGACTGCTGGTTTTCTAACCCTGCAGCACAGGCTTCTGTGGTTTAGCCCACAGTGCCACCATGTCCCTCTTCGACTTGTTAGTTATATATAAAAACCAAGCCAGAGATGGAGACTCCCTAAGTGTTAATGAATAGTATTTTATTCTTTACTGTAACATTTCAAGCTGTGTTTGTCTTCAACAGGACCACTCCAAAACATGTCGTTGGCTGAACCGAAGACATTGCTGTCTTAGTTACACACGTAGAAAACCAACAGAATGTCAACTAAATTTTACTTTAACACTGGCAATGAGATAGGATTTTCTCACTTGCTTGAAACTGGTTTTAGGGTGCAGGATGGGGCTCGGTAGCACAGGTGGCTCTCTTTTCAAAGGCAGCAAAATGGCCAGGGATTTCAGAGGAGCAGCTTGGGGAGGGCACTTCCATTTCCACTTCTCAACCTCTGCAGCCTGGGGGGAGGGGTTGCCTCACTCTGCCTCAAGATAGGACCAAAACTGCTCTTTAACAACAGATTTTAAACCAGAGTTAGCAGTCTCTGCTTGTTTCTTTCTTTTGACCTTCCTGTGTCACTTGCAAGTAACCTGGCAGAAAAACTGATATTAAACCAGTTAAATGTTAATTTTCATTCAGCTTCAGGAGAGTGCTTTAGGTGTCTGGGGTGATATAATGCCAACTTAATGTGTGAAGACGTGTGAGGTCTGATAAAGTTTAACCTGGGAATAGCTGCTGTTGATATCAATAAGCAGGGACAAAATCCAGCAGGAGGTACTAAGAGCTGTCAAGTAGCATTTAATTGGCCCTCTGTGAAGAAAGGGATATTCAGTACCATTCAAGTTGTTGAAAAACAGCCCAAGTCAGCATCTAGAATTTTCTCTTGCATGCTGTCCCTTTGTGAATGGTGAGCAGAAGAGCACATCTTATAGACCATCTTGATTGCTGCCATTGGTGTTGTCAACATTTAGGCTGCTCCTAGCAGGGCATCCTTTTTCCTGCTGGCAATGTAGGCATTATTGGACCGTTTCCCGGCTTTTTGAATCATGGGTACAGAAGCACAATATTCCACCAGAGGTTCTTTGAAGAATTGAATAGATCTTCAGGCTGATCCCGGAATCCTTTTCTTCTGCTTTGGACCAGTACATGTCAAGTGCTTCGGGCTTTAGCAGAGATGGTTATCTTGGACAGAGATGGGGAAACAACTTTTAAAAAAAATATTATTCTTAGAATGCCCCAACCAGTTATGATTCTGGCTTGGAAGCTGTAGTCATATATTAACTAGATGGTCTTATAATATAGCATTGTGGCCTAGAGATATTATATTCCAGGAATGTGGCAGGGCTCTCGAAAACAACCAAAGTCTCACACATTGAAGGTAGGAGGATCCTGTCTAAAAGTGAGGGGCAGAACATTTCTCATTCCTGCTTCATCTTTTAAAGAAGAATATCCCCATCAACAAATAATCCTGAAGGTTAATCTAAATAGTTCATATGTAAATTTCAAGCAGACAGAAAAAAAATCCTTTCCCCCAAAGACTGGATTAATCTTTGGGAAGGTGCATTTTTACCAAACTTCCTGAAGCTCCATTTGATTAATCCAGATATTTCTACCCTATACAAGCAGAGGAAACAAGTTCATCTTGGGTAAGGCTTTCAAAGGCTACCAGCCCTGATATGTTATCTCCAAGATACGAAGTACAGTGGTGCCTTGCTTAATGATTATCTCGTTAAATGACAAAACCGCTTTACGATGAAGTCGCAAAATGATGTTCCTATGGGGAAAATTTGCTTAACAATGATCGGTTCCCTGCTTCGGGAACCATTTTTTTGCTAAACGATTATTTAGAAACAGCTGATTGGTGGTTCTAAAATGGCCGCCCGCTGTGTTTTCAGGACGGATTCCCCGCTTTACAGGCAGTGAAAATGGCCGCCCTTATGGAGGATCTTCGCTGGACAGGGAGTTTTCAGCCCATTGAAACGCATTGAACCAGTTTCAATGCATTTCAATGGGCTTTTTCGTTTTGCAAGACAATGTTTTCATAAGACAGCGATTTTCGTGGAACGAATTAACATCATCTTGTGAGGCAACACTGTAACATGCCCATGAATTCCTGGTGTGGGTGTGGGGAACTGTAAGTCTATATGACAACAAAAACAGCACAGTGTTTCATGGCACCTCACAGACAAACAAGCTGTATCTGGCATAAGTCTTTGAAAGTCAGGCCAAATAAGACATGATAGCCTTGAAACAGCCACAAACCTCTCTATGAATTCCGAGTTGAAGGGCAACAGCAGAGGGAAAGGGCCATTTCCTTTTGTCCACCTCAGAGCTTTAGGAGGGACCTGTTTTGTGAGCTACGGGGCTGAGACTTTGCTGCACTAAATAGGGGATTTTAGGAGTTATACTCCAGAAAAAGTAACCCATCCATGCTCTGGAAATTGGCCACTGTGAGGCAAAAGATATTGAATTCATTACATGTTCCGCCTGGTCTAGAACAGCACTCCTTAACATCCTTTATATATACTGTATATTACTTAGTTTCAAATACAATATATACAGTACTGGGCAAAAAAGGAAGAAACAAAAATACCAGAAAAGGGGGGGGGAGGGGAGGGGAGGGGAATGAGAAAGGAGTTTCTCGAGCGTTTATGGTTTCTTGCTTTGGAACTTCTCACACATTTCTCAGTTATTCCTTCAATCACATCTTCCTTAGTTACTAATAATTATCACGTAATTTGTTACACAACTAATAAAGAGGAAAGAAAATTGAAATCTAAACTATTGTTATCTGAAATTCTACGATTCAAAATTACACATCCCTAGGTCCATATTTTCTTTATTTAACATAAAGTCTAGGTTTCGATGGTTTTTTAAAAAATTCTGCTAAACGTTTGTCCTTTAGAAGCTCTGAGAGTTTTGTCATTTCAGCCATCTCGAGGACTTTTGAGTAGCCAGCCATTTCTCTACTGTAGGTACTTGCTTCACCTTCCAATATTGCACATAGACAATTCTTGCTGCTGTTGTCATATATCTAATAAGTATTGCTTTCTTCTTTTCTAACTGTTCGTCAATCATGCTTAGAAGAAATAATTCAGGTTTCATTTGGAAATTAGATTTCAATATCTTTTGTATTATTAAGTAAACTGATTTCCAGAATTTTTTGATATCTTACACGTCCACCACATAAGATACAGTAATCCATCTTTTACTTGACATTTCCGGCATCTATTAGAATCCCCTTTTACAGATTTTAGCCATTTTTTGTGGTGTCAAGTACCATCTGTACATCATTTTGGAAAAGTTTTCTTTTAAATTGTAACTCATTGTAAATTTCAATCCATATTTCCACATGCCCTCCCACTGTTCCACTTGAATATTATAACCAAAATTTTGTGCCCACTTAAGCGTACAGTCTTCAACTTGCTCATCCTCTGTATCATACTTCAATAATAGTTTATACCTTCTGGAAAGCAGATGATCCCCATTACCACATAATTCTTTTACAAAGACAGGCCTTTCTTCTTCAAATTCAAAAGTTTTCTTATCTTCCTTAAACCTTTCTGCTGGCTCCTTAACATTCTTAAAGGTAAACTCCCAGAGGAGAATCATGGAAGGAAACAAAGCCAGGGAGACATTTGAGTGTAAGCACAAAGCAGTTGAAGGAAGGCTTAAAGGAATGAGAAATTCTCACATTTTTCTTCCTCTTCTGGTGGGGGCTCCTCCCTCCTTTCTCATTGCCTCCCTTCTTTGTTCTTTCGCTCTGCTTCCTTCCAGCCCTAGGTTATCATCCTGTTTTCTCTTTCTAAGCATGTCTACCTTGCGTGCTGTAACGAATCGTCTTTATATTATTAGTACACTTCTCTGTATGCAAATTTTCAGCCAAAAAGTGTGTGCATGCAGCACACACACATTCAAGAGGAATAACTCCTTCTTTTCCTGAAGGCATTTATTGAGGGTCAGGATAGGAATGATACATTTTGAACCCTCAAACCCCACAATTAAAAAAAACATTCAAAATCAATACAGCAATGCAACATATAGTAAATAAACCATAAATATAAATAAACCTATAAAATCTAGAATTGGTTTAAAAATTGACAGCATCTGGGTGAGTCAGTTACTAATTTAATTAATTCCATCCTTACATAAGGAGGGAAGGAGGCTGGCATATTTTGTGTCAGCATTATGTTGACTAAGGGCTACAACCGAAAATTTGCTTTTTTTGCCTCCTTTGGTATTGGCCGTTTTTAACAACTTGGATTGAAAGGATGGAAATGGACAGGGAGCCAATGAAGGTGCACCAAGACTGAGGATAGATGATCAAATTTACTAGTCCTGGTAATCAATCTATTGGCCACATTTTGGACCTGCTGAAGTTGCAGTGTTTCCAGATGTACTGGACTAAATGTCATATCATTTCTGTTTAGCACCGATGGAAGAAACTTGGTTGGTAGAAGTCTGACTACCTGCATCTCCCTTTTGCACACATTAGTGATTCCCAACCTTGGGTAACCCAGGTGTTCTTGGACTACAACTCCCAGAAGCCTTCACTATTAGCTGTGCTGGCTGGGGCTTCTGGGAGTTGCAGTTCAAGAACATCTGGGTTACCCAAGGTTGGGAACCCTGAATATATGATTGAAAATGTCAGGCAATCACCCTGGATGTTTGCACAGTGGGTCCTCTGCTATTTAGAGATCAACCTTGGCACATGTGATTTTTAAAAACCCGAACAAGTGCAAAGTATCTTTCTCTCACTTCTTTTAGCCCCCACAACAGCATCTTTGAACTCAGATGCTCTTCTCATCTTCCCTAATAGCAGCATTGCATGATGGGTGCTGCCGTAAGTATGATGTACAGTGCATTCAATACAACAGGCATTCAAGAAAAGGACAAAACATCTCCCAGTCCTGAACTCTCAAAACAGCTATGGCAGAAGCTCTGAAGTAATGTTCCCCTGCTTCTCGCCCTCTCTACTCAATTCTCAACATCCCCTTCGTCCGGATATTAAAACAACACAGTTTCATGCCACATTAAAGACTAATAAATCCAAGGCTTTTGCAAATTGCATGAAGTGGAGATATCAGCCAATATTTTCACTTACTTACTTACTTACTTACTTACTTACTTACTTACTTACTTACTTACTTACTTACTTACTTACTTACTTACTTACTTACTTACTTACGCCAGATAATTTTTGTCAGGGGTGCAATAGAACCTCTTTGTTTTTGCAGTAACAATTTACAAAACACACACACACACACACACACACACACACACACGGATATTCCCAAAATGAAAGAAAAGTGGGAAATTGACCTGGGTAGCAACCGTGGAAGTGAACTGCGATTGATCGTAGACCCATCCATGTTGGCACTTCTGGACAGCAGTGAAATTGCCTGACGTCCGCTGAGTGGAATTAAGCAGTAGGTGAAACTGAGGCTCAGCAAACATCTCACAGGAGCTGAAGGCTTCCTCGGGATCTTTTGGGATGCTGACCAGCAGCACTTCTTCCTTGGTGAGATTGGCCAATTGGTCCTGAGGTGGGATGGCACAATGATGTGGTGGGATGGCTGCCAGGAAGTTGTGGAGCAAGAAATGCAAGGGGAGGATGAGCCTTGGAAGGCAGAGCAGAAACAGTGTTAAGATCTGGAATCTGCCAAAGCCACCAGCCTCCTCCAGGAGGTCTTCAAATTTCATCTTTGCTGAGGTGTTGGTATGCTTCTCAGCGTTGAGAGCTATTGGAGGGAAACACTCAAAGATCTTGTGTTCCACAAAGGCAAGGTGGCATGACTTTTCACAGCTGTCAGTTTTGTGGACTTTGAAATGGCAGTCAAGCATCTGTCGCTCACCATCAGTGGGACATGAGCCAACATATCTTTTGGTCCTGAAGATCTGATTGAGCTCCGTCTCAACAGAATCACAATGACTAGGGTTGGTAAAAGAGAGAGAAGTGTCCAGAATAAACAATATGGGGTTAGGACAATGTTTAACACAGTTTATCTTACTGGTTGACTAAATAACCTTTGACACCTCCAGGAGTGGAGCTAAAAACAAAATACACACTGGTGATGTTCCAGTTCATGTCTCCAGAGTTAAACACTAGCCCATGCAAGCCACCAGAATTTGACAGTGTAAATTAGTAGTGGGCAAAGTACAGTCTTCCAGATATTATAACATTTAGTCCTGTTCAGCACTGGGTGGGACAAGTGAAGCTGCTGGCTAGTAAAGCCCCATACTGAAGAAAGGGTAAAGCAGGAGAAGGACAGGACAATCCAAGGTTGCAGTCTGAAGGGTCAAAGGTCCAGGAAATCCAGAGCAAAGGATTCAGATACACAGGAACACGGCAGAGACTGCTCAACCACATGCTTCCAGAAGCTTGAAGAGCCCACTGAAAATTGTTTTCTAGCTGCGCTGTTGGAGTCTTATCCAGCACAAGTTGGAGATGTTCAGGTACAAACAAGAACTCAGATGCAAGGTTTGACCACTGAGTCTCCCTGGGAGAAAGAGCCCATTCATGTAACCAGCCCATTGGCAAACTAGCTGCAGTGTTTTGGACCCAATGAAGTTTCCGAACACTTTCCAAAGGCAGTGCCACACACAGAGCATTACAATAATCCAGTTAAGATGTAACTAAGGCATTTGTCATGGTGACCAAGTCAGATCTCTCCAGGAATGGCTTCAGCTCCACTGCAATGGGTTAGTTTACACTGTCCGTGCATTTTTATAAGCCACCTTTCCATAAATGCTCTCTAAGTCAGCTGACTACTAGAATTAAAATAATGCAAGAAGAAAATTCACAAGGGAAAAATGACCCCCAAAAATAAAACATCATCAGAGTTAACAGTACCTGAAAAAGCCCTTAATAATTCCACAACTGTATCACAACTGGAGTTTGGGAACATGGGGTAATATTTTTCATTTATTTTGTTCGGATTTAAACCTTGGCTTTCCTGGTCTGTGTTTAAAGCTTTGAATGAACGATCCAAGCAGAGAAAAACCTCAGTCGGTGATCTCAAGGCACATGTAAGTGATTTTAGTGCTAAGGGCCCGTCAGGCACCGTAGTCCTTGGATATTAAGGTCTTATCGGTCAAGGCCAGGACTTTCAATTGTATCTCAAAGCAAAGTGAAGTCTTTCTGAGTGCATGGACCAAGGTGGAAGCCATGTTGGGCAAAGAACTGGGAACACCCCTTGCAGAGAATGGAGGAGTACAGAAGGATTTTGGAAAATATTCTGACCAGGATTCTAAGTAAGTCAAGATATCTGTTTTATATAAACATTCATAGACCTAAAACAATGACACAGAAGAAAGTTGGGCTTAACAAGTTAATGAAAGTGGATTAGGTCCTGTAACCCTCCAAGATGCAGTAGAGTGAGCCTCCACCCCCACCCCCACCCCGCATCCTTCAGCCTTGATCGGAAAAGGAGAAGAAAGAGAAAGAGTGAAAGTTATTTGGTGAATGAACTGTTTTAATCAAAGGCAAAGACTAGCTTCCTCAAAATAGTTTAATCATAATCTGTCTAATTACGATGCTAATGGAGGAACCTAGAATAAGAAAATAGAATTTTGGAACTTAAGAATAATCTTAGATTGTGGGTGATCACAGAACAAAGGAAGGCTAATTGCCTTAGAGAAATAACAAAGGAGTCGACAACAGATGCCTGAGCCATTAACTTAGCGTGAGTTACATAGTATGTTGTAAGAATTCAGATAGGATACTAGTTATCTAATTGCCACTAGGATTGGCTGAAATAATTCTTTGATTTTATGCTCTACCTCTAAGCAAAAGGGCAGAATAAGGGGTTACCCCACCTGTTGGCAGCTGCTCCTTCCTGTCAGGAGTGTATGCATGTCACTGGAACAGAAAGCAGCTACAACTTTTAAGAAGTTTCCCACATTCCCCCTTTTTCTTTTTTCTTTTTTTTAAGCAAAGGCATATATTCTTTCATATATTTGCGAACTACATATAAATCTTTTCGGCAAAGGCTTGAGGGCAAAGCTTTGAAACAGGTAGTTATCATGGAAAAGAAGGTTGGTATACATTGAATAAAACAACAGCAACTTATAAGGAGTATGAAGAGCATAATTCCAAGAATGAGAACACAACACAATAGTGTCACAGAGTTAGCATTCAGCTGCGAAATAATGCCTGCTAGAAAAGTTTCAGGAGTTTCCAGAATCTGCTGCTGACTTAGAGTTCTTTTTATATTAGCACTCAGCATCTTTATCATCTTGATCTAAGGAGCAGAAAGAAAACCTTAACAGCAAAGATGGATTATCTCCAAGAAATCTCTTGGGATGGAATCTCCAAGAAACTCATATGAAAAGAATAGAGTAACATCAGATGTAAAATAATTTATGAACAAATAAGACATTAAAATAGGATATTATCTGTCTTCAAAACTTATAGTATGAAAATCAAGAACCACCTTATGAAATGTTTTTTAATAAGTGTTGGAAATGTAAAACACTGGAGGGTACTTTCAAACATATTGGGTGGAAAGGTAGGGAAGCAGAACATTATTGGAGATTATTGCAGATTAGTATATGAAATACTAAAAAAATATATTTTGTGAGACATCATTTAGACTGGAATCGTATTAAGTATTATGTCAGAGATTGTAGATAAAGAAATGAAACATTTGATAATAAACGTAATTACTGTAGCTATAATATGGGAAACATTGGAAGAAAACAGAAACATGGTTCTCTTAAAAAGGATGCAAAAGATTAGAATGATTTTATAGTTGGACTTGATCTATGGACTGGAAAGCATAAATAAAAGAAGAACACAAAGGTCCAATCAGGGAATGAAGAGATTAGTAACTATAGTAATTCTGGTAAAACCTGTTAAATTGTTCTTTTTTGTTATTTTTTAAAAATTCTAGTAGAATTGTATGATATAAAAGTACCCTCGCCCCCTCTGGAATTTTACCCTTCCCCTACCCATGTCTACTCCCCCAGCCCCCAGCTCCAAATCCTACCCCTATTGAAAATGAATAAAAATTGAATAAGGTAAAAGGTAAAGGTTTCTCTTGACAATTTGTCCAGTTGTGTCCGACTCTAGAGGACGGTGCTCATCCCTGTTTCCAACCCATAGAGCTAGCGTCCGAAGACAATCTTCCGTGGTCATATGACCAGTGCAACTAAACACGGAACACCGTTACCTTCCCACCGTGGTGGTACCTAATTATCTACACATGTTTTGCATTTTGCATGCTTTCGAAGCGCTAGGTTGGTGGGAGCTGGGACAAGCAACAGGGGCTCACTCCAACGTGTGGATTTGATCTTACGACTGCAGGTCTTCTGACCTCGCAGCACAAAGACTTCTGTGGTCTAACCCACAGTGCCACCAAGGTACTTTGAATAGATCAAAGTAAAGCAGAGGAGTTTTCAACATCAGCAGAGGTTATCTGAAAGACACTGGACCACAGAAAACAGTCCAGATTTTATTCATGTATGATACATGGCAAGGGAGAAGTGTGCATGTTTGTGAATGTGTATGAGTACATGTGTAAAGGAAGGAAGGAAGGAAGGAAGGAAGGAAGGAAGGAAGGAAGGAAGGAGAAAATGTGTGTGTCGCATGAATGGTCAATCAAGTTTGAGTGACTGAATGGGTGAATGATAATAAGAATGATGAGGGAGAGTTCTATGAATCAGGGCTTTAAAAGTTCCTTTTTTGGTCTAAAGCATTTTGCATGCTTTCGAACCGCTAGGTTGGCGGGAGCTGGGACAAGCAACGGGGGCTCACTCTGAGGCATGGATTTGACCTTACGACTGCAGGTCTTCTGACCTCGCAGCACAGAGGCTTCTGTGGTTTAACCCACAGCTCCACCACGGTACTATGGATAGATCAAAGTAAAGTGGAGGAGTTTTCAACATCAGCAGAGGTCATCTGAAAGACACTGGACCACAGAAAACAGTCCAGATTTTATTCATGTATGATACATGGCAAGGGAGAAGTGTGCATGTTTGTGAATGTGTATGAGTACATGTGTGAAGGAAGGAAGGAAGGAAGGAAGGAAGGAAGGAAGGAAGGAAGGAAGGAGAAAATGTGTGTGTCGCATGAATGGTCAATCAAGTTTGAGTGACTGAATGGGTGAATGATAATAAGAATGATGAGGGAGAGTTCTATGAATCAGGGCTTTAAAAGTTCCTTTTTTGGTCTAAAGCTGGTCATGTTGGCTAGGGAATTTTGGGAACTAAGGACAAAAAATAAAGTTTCCCAGCTCTGTTATGAAGTGGGGGGCAGCCATTCTAGGCTCTGGACTCTGCAGCATGTGGAAGACATGGGAGGGAAAACCCTTAAATTCTTGGATATTTTCAACTCTTACTCTTCTCACCCTCACAAACACAACTGGCTGCCAGACATGATGTCATGCAAGTGCTTTGCTCTATGGTACGCACCATAAAAGTAGGTCATGATCAATCATTTCCTCATTTCAAACAACTCAGAATAATAATGTCATACTGTGGCATTTAATTTCAAACCATTGTTATCTTGTTACTGTGTTCCCCTGAAAATAAGACAGGTTCTTATATTAATTTTTGCTCCAAAAAAACACATTAGGGCTTATTTTCAGGCAATATTTTATTTTTTTCATGTACAACAATCTACATTTATTCAAATACAGTCATGGCATAGTCTTCTGGTTGCTGCACAAGGGTGGAGGGTGGGGTTTCACTTAACTAGGCCTTATTCTTGGGGTATGGCTTATATTGCAAGCATCCTGAAAAATCATACTAGGGCTTATTTTCAGGTTAGGACTTATTTTCAGGGAAATTGGGTATTGCATGTCAGCTTCCATTAGCACCTAGATTCATTTTATCAGACTTCCTCCCCCCACCCCCAAAACTAACATGCAGAAGGGCCTGTGCCGTTGGCTAACAATGTGGTTTGATGCCGTTGTTTCGCATCATTGTCATTGTTGGCTTCCTGTTCCGGTGAGAGAGAAGCATCTGTGCTCATTTGATTCATCAGACCCAGAGCAATGACTCCCTCTGCGTTTGGCTCCTGGTCTTGGGTGCAGATACAGTTCTTGTTTCTGAAAAGGGGGCAAAAACACAAGAGACTGAAAAAGCTGTGGTCCCTGAGAGTTTTGTAGAAGTTGAGATATCATAAATACTCTACCTATGTAATCACTCTACACACCTAGTTGTCTGCTTAGCTCCAGGCACTTGTTTACCTGCTACTTACTTATTAAGGTTTTGTCCATTAAAAATTCACCTTTAAAAAGTAAGAAAATCTGAATTTCTGAGATTGAAAATCACCTCAGGGTTTAATCCTCTTTACAGCCAAAGTATCAATAACTGGTAACACTGTTTTGTGTAAACAGTACTTATTATAGTCTTTCTTGTTTTGTATAATACGGTAAGTACTATAAGTAACCAGTTACAGTATTAGTATCAATTTGGAAGAAACAATGTTTTTATACCTCATTACTTCAAAATTGCCATGGATGCTGCTCTTCCCCAGTTCGTAATTAATGGTGCAATATTCACCAAGGTATGTGTGTTACTTTTTGTTACTTTTTCTTAGATATCTACCCTGGATTAATAAGAGAATGACATAAAACTTTAAAATTACTGTCAAATTGCCTTAACAATGTCCGAATGAAATAACTTTGAGACATGTTTAGAAAATATTCCTTATTACCAAGAGGCAGCAAGCAGTGTTAATACTCTTTATGCTGCTTTTGAAATGCAACATCATTACCACCTCATTAGGAAAAAACAAAACCTAATTACAAGTAACTCAGCACAAGCTAGACATTAAGGGGAATCCATATTTCCTCTGATTAACTTGTTTTCCTTCTCACAAGATCTTCGTTGAGAGACATGCTCTGGCAAATTAATTCTGTGTTTCCAGTGACTGACTACCCTAAAAGTACACTAAATGCCAGATACGAGTATACAGCTGAGAAAGCTAATGAGCTACAGCAAACAGGAATCTTCTTGAGGCAGCACCACTTCTAAAAACACACTGAGCATTTTATTCAGTTCAGCCCTTAGTTACTAGTACCGTGTTACTGCCAAACACTGGATATTTTGAATTCAGCTCAGAAAAAAGGACAGATATCTTCCACAGCTGGAGAAAGAGGTCTGCGTGCAATCCGCCCATATTTAAAAGCTGCATTTTTGAGGTCAGAAATGCATTCAGGTTCCTTGCCAGGAATCTTTCTGTGTCTAGGTAACTCACCTGTCCCCTTCTATATCTTCAATAGTCTCTGGCAACTGGACATTGGTAGTCTCTGTCAGAAGAAAGGCCACCATCCCTGACACTCCAGCCACAATGCTGAATATCAGGGGTGGAAGGTATTTCCAGGTGTCATCCAATAACATGATCAGAGGAGCTGTGGAGCTGGCGAGCCGCGCCACAAAAGAACAGCAGCCCATACCGCTTTGTCTGCAAAGGCAATGAGAACCATTTTCACAAGGCTAGCAGATGGCTTCCTTTGATGTTATACATGCAGTCCAAATCTTGCTGCTGATTCACACTTCTTCTGCTATACTGATAAGAAGATGGGTTGGCTTCCTAAGGGTAAGCAAGCATCAAAAAGAGATGCCACTTCTTTTTCTCCCTTCAAATACTTCCTCAAAATGCACCTCTTCCATGAAGACTTTGGATGAATTTCATAGTCCTTACCGCTCACTGAAACAAAGTTTAAATACGTTTGCTCAGACTCATCCCTGGAACGCTACCTTAACAGTAGCCTTCATTCTTGCCTCACACAGACAGTCAGGAGAGATGCTTCTTCCAAAATGATGTCCATTGCAACATATATCTATAACTGCTAGATAGCTCAGTGCTTTAGGTCTCTGGCTATGGAGTCTGAGGACAGGGGTTCAATTCCCCACTGTGCCTCCATGAAAAGGGCTGGACTTGATGATCCATAGGGTCTCTTGCAGTTCTAAGATTTAATATTATTATTAGGCCAACAACAAAAGGAAAATTAAAAAATAGACAAAAATGTTGTGGCACCTTAAAGATTACTGTGAACTTTTGTGGACAAGAGGAAATCAACTTGGCCTTGAAAGCTCACATTAATATCTAGCAGTTAGTCTTTAAGGTGCTGCAATGTTTTTGTCTTCTTTATTGTATATTTTTCTTTTGGGTTTTGTACTGATATACTAGCACAGAATAACACGGCTACTGATTCTAAAATTATTATTATTCAAAAATAACAGGCACAGTCAATCAAAATTATAAAAGCATTGCTTGGTATTACAGTGGTGCCT